CATTCAACACAATGTCACTATGCTTGTGAGCAGTGCTCTTTTTGTGACCGCGGGCAGGTGATGCCAGGACTTTTGGGCTCAGGAGTTACAGTTGAGAAAACCTTAGCCCTAAACCCTAAACCCTAAACCCTATTGCAGCAGGAGCACGCAGGTGGCGAAGGAGACACAAGGCCTCCACCCAGAGAGAGATGGCGGCATTGTAGATCACGAGGTTGGCCTGCCTCAGGCCGGACTAGGAGGGTGCCCTTTAGGGTTTAGGGTTTAGGGTTTAGGGTTTAGGGTTTAGGGTTTAGGGCTTAGCCCCCTTATGGCTTAGGATTTAGGGTTCCTTATGGTTTAGGATTCTAGGGTTCCTTATGGTTTAGGATTTAGGGCTCCTTATGGCTTAGGATTTAGGGCTCCTTATGGCTTAGGATTTAGGGCTCCTTATGGTTTAGGATTTGGGGTTCCTTTTGGTTTAGGATTTAGGGTTCCTTTTGGCTTAGGATTTAGGGCTCCTTATGGCTTAGGATTCTAGGGCATGGGCTGTAGAGCCTAGGGTTTTTTTCCTCCATGACAAGCAAGCAGATTCCAACCCTAAACCCTAAACCCTAAACCCGAAACCCTAAACCCAAAAACCCTAAACCCGAAACCCTAAACCCTAAACCCAAAAACCCTAAACCCTAAACCCAAGAACCCTAAACCCAAAAACCCTAAACCCTAAACCCGAAACCCTAAACCGGGCAGCAGGAGTCGATGGTGCATGTCGTCGATGAGCGCCAGGGCTTCTGGCCAGCGGTCGGCCTGGTTCCAGGTCTTAAGCTTGGGCCCCAGGGGTTTAGGGTTTAGGGTTTAGGGTTTAGGGTTTAGGGCTTAGGGTTTAGGGTTTAGGGTTTAGGGTTTAGGGTTTAGGGAGGTTGTGAACTTACAGTCTAGAGTTCTGGGGCCTAGCGCAAGAACTGAGGCAAGGAATTGGGAGTTTGGGCTTTTGGGCCCTTGGGATTTTTGAAGCATAGGCCATGAACCCTAAACCCTAAACCCTAAACCCTAAACCCTAAACCCTAAACCCTAAATCCTAAACCCCATGACCTCGACCTTTCAGACCCGAACCCTAAGCTTTAACGTCCAGGCTTCAGGTTCCACTCACAAGAACGGGCCCAAATTTCAAACCCCTCGAAGCCCTAAACCGAAAGACCGCAAAAAAAAAGGCTAAAGTCAAGGCACCCATGCTTACTCTAAACTCTACACCCAAAAATAAAGTCATCGAAGCTAAGCCCTTTCAACCGGCGCAAAACCCGCAACACTGTAAAGCTTAAAGAAACACCGCGACAGCCTTTTCTTAGCCGAAGGAGCCCCACACCCCTGGTGAAGCTCCGGCGTGAAAAGGGGTATGTAGAGAGAGAGAGAGAGTGAGAGGGAAGGGTTGTTTTTAGGGCTCCCCCAAAAGAGGTCGAAAAGGCTTCTGCAATCAGGGTTACCGTAGGGGCCTTCATACTTTGGTTTTAGGATTACTATCATACTCGGATGTTATCATGATATATACGTATATGAACCCATCCCCAAAACCTGTGCCTCATGCTGAAGCCTAAACATCACAAGCTAACACACAAAACGTAACAACAAAGACGACAAACAGTAGCAAACACGATACAAACTACACTCACACACTAGTGCTAAGAAGAAGAGGAAGAAAAGTACGAGCAATAGCAAGACTAGACGAAGCTTCGCTTAATAGAGAGAAAGGCCCTAAACCCTAAACCCTAAACCCGACTGCAAACTTAGCCTTCTCGCAGGCGCTAACGGCTGCGCCGAAGCAGACGACATCTGGGGTCGTCCACTGCGCATCGAGCTCCTTGGCTTGAGGGTTTAGGGCTTAGGCTTTAGGGTTTAGGGTTTAGGGTTTAGGGTTTAGGGTTTAGAGTCGTTCCCTTCGCATCGAGCTCCTTGGCTTGAGGGTTTGGGGCCTTGATGGGAGCTAGGATTAAGGGGGCCCTTGGGGATATAGACCCTCTCAATAAGATCCCCTTTAAGAGAGCCATAAGTAGGGTTAAGAAAGGGTTCTCGTTAAGGGGTCTCCCTAATACTAGCTAGGACTTGAAACTCAGGGGTCTTTTGGGTTGACGGGTTGACGGACGCTTGGGGAAGGTTTCGGGCTATAGGTTAGGATTTGAGGTTAAGGGAGGTCCACCAAAGCCTTAAACCTCAGTTGCCGAGACTCGGTACAACACGAGGCTCCAAGGTTTACAGTTTCGGGCCCCTAAACCCTAAACCCTAAAACCCTAAACCCTAAATTCCCTTAAATCCTAAAACCTAAAACCCTAAACCCTAAACCCTAAACCCTAAAACCCTAAAACCCTAAAACCCTGAAACCCTAAACCCCTAAAACCCTAAACCCCTAAAACCCTAGAACCCTAAACCCTAAACCCTAAAACCCTAAACCCTGAATTGGGGCTTCAGGGTTTGGCCTTGCATCATCTCAGCCTTCAGGCCCCAACACCGCGGCGAAGCTCATGGAAAATGC